ATTGAAGATGAAATTAAATTCACATAAGGTGGTGAGTAGCACCTGGCAAACAGGAAGCATTCAGTAAAATGTCATCTCTCAGCACTACCCAGAGTCCCACCCTTATTCCCCTTTTCAAGCCAAACAATTCACATGACTTTCTAATTTATCAAGTCCAAAGCCACTTTATATGAATTTCTACGGCCATTTTTCTCTAGCATATTCTTTCCATCCAGACCAAAAAAGGGGAGGGAAAAGCTGATTTTCCTCCTCTCTGGAGAACAACTGCCCATCCTGATCCCACACTCTGTTATTTTCCTCCTTATCTTCCAGGGCTCACTTCATCACTGGCTCTTCACCCTTCAAGGCTCCTCCCCAGCACTCGATCACTGAAATCTTGCTTTTGATTTCCAAACTACTTCCTGTAAGAGATTCAGTCAAGACTCCCACCTTCCCTCTCACTCAATCATCTCCACTGTCTTCTACTTCCAGAGATAGTCTTACCATTTTCAAAGTCAGTATCCTTACCACTGTTATATTCCCCAGTAGTGAGGATGCTGACTTTGAAAATGGTGAGACAATCTCAGGAGGTAGAAGGCACACAGCTCAACTTTCCCAACTTCTCCACTCCTCAGGGACTCCAACATCTCACAGCAAACCCCATCCTAATCTCTAAATACAGACCCTACCCATTCATTTATGTACTGTCTAGTTATTAAGAAAAAGCTTAATCAAATATAAATGCATGTTTCAAATACCACATTTTCATAATAACATGTTAATTTGTGAGGGAAAAAAGCATACTGAGCTCTCAACACTAGGGAGCTCTTCCACAGGTCTTATTATCTCAGTATAGAATGTGATAGAAGATTCCCTAATTCTTCGCGTTGTGTCCAGCCTCCAACAATCTGTAAGCTCTTTAATGAGAGACACATTTCACACTCACTAGTGCCCACACATGAACAGGCTCAACAGGCAACAGCTAACATTTGGTGAACACTTGCCCACACACCTACAGAGTGGAAGGGTTTTATGAAAGAAATGTGTGAGATGGACAGCAGAACAAAGGACAGACATATATGGGAAAATACAACATATATCATAGGCCATGGGTAACGAAGAACAGAAATAAAGCAATTTTTAAAATTCCATGTAACTAAAAACACTCCAAACACCAATGTTAGGGGGAGCTCTGGCCAGACCGCCTGTGCTGTATGATCAACACTATTATTCTATGTAGGCTATAAACAGATCCAGGCTTTATAAACATGAAACTCCCTGTCCTCTAGTCTAAATGCACTCTGGACCAAAGAAATTAGGAAACAGAGCTCAGAATTCCAATTTCACAGGGGATTTAAACAATTACACAGATGCTGACGAACAGAAAAAATATCAGCAAGCCTCCCCTCCTCCTGTCCTTCAGTCAGTGGCCCCAGAATAACCCAGTTCCTCAAAGTAGGAATACAGAAGTCATCCAAGACTTCTCTTTCACCCTCCCACACCAAATCAATCATTAAGAACTTTCTCAAATGCATCCAATTCTGTCCACTCCAATACCTTAATTACTGCTATAGCCTCTCTCTAGCTCCAGGTTTATCATCCACAAACTCACCCTTTACGCTGCTGGAAGAACAATTCAGTCATGAGACAGATTTAGTCTTTTAACTCCCAGCTACAAGATTCATTAGTTTCCAACACCTACGGCTCCTTGGAAAATGGCGAATGGTCTCAAGAAAAGGACTCTAAGACACACACTTCCACCTCCATTCTATCATTTTCATGTGTTTTACATGCTGACTCCACATCAACCATTGGTTTCACGGCTTAAAAATCAGCTTGAAAAGCACTGACTGATAGGATCAAGTCCAAACTCCTTCCAACCACACACCCACACACAGCATCTTCCCGATCAGCCCCTGGCTGCCTCTCCAGCCTCAGCTCTCTGCACTGCCTGCCTCCAAAACATGTACAGCTCCCACCCAGAGTGCTGATTTTGCTTCCCTGACTTAGCTCACGCTATCTGTTCTATTCCCAAAGCTGCTCCTACTTGCCACATGGCTAAATACCCCTCATTCTCGAAAACTCAGTTCAGGGACCAGCCCCTTCAGGAAAACTTCCAGAGGGCAGAATTAGTTGTCTTTTTTATATGCACCTGCCAGACCGTGTGCATCCTTCTATTGCCACAGTTAGCATACTGAATTAAAACAATCTATTAATACATGTGACTTCCCTACTAGAGTATGAGTTGCTTTAGGAATAGTACTCTATATGGAATTTTTGTAGCCTCAAAGCCTGGAAAAATGCCTCAAACTTGGCAATCAATAAATGTTTGATGAGTGATTAAATTAACAGAAATGAAAGGACTGTTTTTGCATACTATATATTCATCCTACAACAACACAAACTATTAATACTAATATAAAATTAACACTAATATAAAACTACAGATTCCTCAATTGTTTTTCCAAATGCATATGCAAATCAACTGAATTCTTTAATTACTCGGTTATAAATATACCAAAATAAATATGAAGTCAATAAAATATGGTCAAGAATTAAAAGCCTATGGGGTATGTCTCCCCATTTCACATTTTACTGTATTGAATCTCAGAGAAGTTAAATGATTTGTTTAAGATCAACAGCAAGAACCAAAACTCAAACCCAAGTCCCTCAACTCAAACATCTATGCTTCTTATTCGTTGTAAGCACTACTCTAGAAAGGCCATCTGCCCCCATGCTGACTGCCAAGGCATATTAGACCAGTCTAGCAGGTTTTTCCCCTCATCCCCTCCTCCCTCCGGAGCCCAAAGACATTCCTCCTATGTTTCCTGCTCATTCAAAAAGTACCTCCAGCCAGCCAGCCAGGGAAGGTCAAAAGTACTATGAGCAGCTCTGTTTTCTCACTAGAGCACCAAGCTGTTTCCACCTCACTACACTTAACTCCCTAAGACAGCTAATTATTCTGAAGAGGAAGTGTTTCTTCCACATTTATCAATATTTTCCCAGTATTCCTCTCATAGAAGCATGACCATGAAAAAGTCTGAGGCAAAGGCACATGACTGTCCATGATTCACAGCCAATTGGTACTTACTGAAGATAAGATTGCCAGTTCACTTTGTTTGCACGAACTTCTGCAGCCTTGGCAGCAATAATGTTGGTTGGGACAGCAGCATCCACAGCACCTCGGATATCCATTTTGGTCATCTAAACTGTAACCTTGAATGTCTTTTAACAGATCTTCAATTTAGATGCAAGGTGAAAAAAAAAAAAAAGAATATAGGTGTTTCTTTTACAACTATTAATATCATGATCGCGTTAACCTCCCCAGGTATTCAACTCAAATATTAAATGTCCTAAGTCTGAAAGTATTATATTTCAAATTTTGTCCACTGCTCCATAAAAGAGTTCTTTCCTTAAGCTTTTGCTTTTCTAAAACAGGTTTTTTCATTGTTGGCACTAACACTGCAATAAGATTTTTAAAAGAAATCATTTAACATACTGAAATCAGAAATCATGATTAAATAGAATAGGTATAAATATGGGAAAATACTGTAAATTTATACAATTGTGGTTAACTTTTGTCTTCCCATAAACAATAGGAATATGTATAGAACAGATAAGGTTAGTTACCTTATAAATATTTACTAAGCATCATTTTGAAGTGGTACATTAAAAATAAGTCCTTTCTAAAATTACTCAAAATACACAATGGGAACATAATTTCTTAGAAGACAGTGCTTTCCTTTGCAAACAAAATTCATAGTATTTGCAAAATCAATTCGGAGAGAAATTTTTAGAACAAATACCTACTACAATTTAGGTAAGCCAACAATGGAGGTCTGGTCGGACAAGAAGAATATACAATAATGAAATACTACGTCATTCTCACTTCTAAACTTCCAGATACAAACGACTGATTTTATCACAACACAAAATACAGGTTGCCATCTGCAAAATATAAATTTATGGCCATGGCCACAAAGAAACTAAAATCCTACCAAAAATTCTATTCCGGGTTCCCAGTGATCTTGGTCAATTTGGAACTTAATCTCTGTATCGGAAGATTTGTTGTCTAAACAAAAGAAAGACCGAGACCAGGAAAAAACGGGCTTCAACCGGGCCAGGCTGGAACTCTGCAGCCAAGGAGGCTCAGCCCCAGCAGCCCGTCCTGGGGTAGTTCAAGGTGTCTCTGCACAGTTACCCAAGTCCCTGAACGACTCGCACCCCCAGCATGCCAGGACCATGGCCCAGTCCTGGGGAAGGTGTACTTTTTACCCTTCTCCCTCCACTCTCGTGCCCTCCCTCAAGTTTCTTCTCCCTGCGAGAAAGGCTCCAGAATTTCGTAAACCTGGTTGAGGCCTGGAAGAAAAGCAATCTGGCAACCCGGGGCCGAAGGAGGGCAGGAGGGGCCCGAGCGGCGAGACACCAGCACGCAGCAGGCAAGCTGGAGAAACTGCAGGGGCGCGTGACCGGGTCCGGAGCCTGAGACAAAAAGCCCGAGGGCGGCCGTACCTCGCGAACCCTGGGGACCCCACAATGCGCCCAAAGCTGGCAGGGAGGGTGCGGCGGTCCCGGGCGCCGGGGCCACAGCCGGGCTGGGGCGCCGAGTCAGAGCCAAGTCGGCGTCTCCCGTCAGTTCCGGAGGTCTAAGCAGCGGTGAGAGACTCCGGGAGCGAAAAGTGAAGCGGGTCCCGACCTAGGAGTCGTTGAGGGCGGCACAGGTAGAAGGCAACCAGCGCGACCGCAGTAGGATGACAGGGGCGTCGGTCACGTGATTGGAGGCACGTGACCGCTGCGGAAGCCGGAAGCCGGGAAAGTCCAAAGCAGCCGGAGGAGGGGCGGGCGCTGCGGCGCGCCTAGTTCCGTGCGGGCAGCCGGAGCCCCAGAGTCCGTAACTCGGGCCCGGGAGCGACGCAAGGCTCGGGCCTCCGCCAGCCAGGGCAGGTGGGAGGCGGCGGGCGCGGCAGGCATGCGAGGACCGCCAGCCCCCAGACCCAGCGCCTCGCCTAGGGGAGGCCGAAGACCCCCACCCGGAAGCAGCTCGTAAAACTCTTATTTTAACCGTCATTCTTTTGAAAAGTTTGATTTATTCTGTAGCTTCCTGCTAGTCACAGGTGTTCCTGCCTCTTGGATCATGGGTCTCTCACCATAGGTATTTAGGGTGGGTATCCATGGGTTAAAAAAAAAATTAAAAATAAAGAAAAAAAAGTTTGAGTTAGCGCTTTCAAATTAATTTTCATTTGGATTTAACAGCTCCATGAAGCAGGCCTTCTTATTCCGATTTCAAATTGAACACAAAGGCTGAGAAGTGGGTCAGAAAAGCTCTTTTGACCTAGGGTTGCATATTTAGCAAATAATAAATCCCATTGCAGTATTTACTTTTATACTAAAAAGTTATCATTGTTTATCTAAAACTCACGTTTACTGGACGTCCTGTATTGTATCCGACAGTCCCATCTGGAGCCCAAATTTTCCCCTAGTCCAGGCCTCAGCAGCTGTCTTTGCCTTAAAATCAGAATGTACTGCCCTGAAGGTGAGGTATACATGACAGTATATTTTCCTTAAAAAGCACTTAAAAGGACCGGGGCTGGTGGCTCACACCTGTCATTCCCAGCACTTTGGGAGGCCAAGGCGGGCAGATCAAGAGGTCAGGAGTTCAAAACCAGCCTGGCCAACATAGTAAAATTCCATCTCTACTAAAAATGCAAAAATTAGCTGGGTATGGTGGTGTGTGCCTGTAGTCTTCAGCTACTCCAGAGGCTGCAGAAGAATCGAACCCAGGAGTTAGAGGTTGCAGTGAGCTGAGATCGTACCACAGCACTCCAAGTCTGGGCAACAGAGTGAGACTGTCTCAAAAGAAAAAAAAAATAATTGAAAGGGATTTATAACTATAACCACATTTTTACTAAAAATGTTAATTTTTAGTAAAATTAAAGTCACAATAATCGAAATCATGCATTGATTACGAATAAAGATATAACAGCGTCGAAGATTGTGCTAGGTCACTCGTTCTATCTTAGCCAGAATTAAAAGCCTGAGTGTTGTTTTGAAAGCAAATCTATGGGGGAAAACTTTCATAAAGGAGAAACAGAAACGAATCATGTACTAATGAACTCCTAAAAGCTGTAACAGAGCGTGTTTTCTGTGTAACTAACTAAGCAAAGCTGGCAAGGAGGCCTGATCTTCGAATTTCTTTTCTGTATCACCTCAGCCACAGACGTGTGATACAGCAAGTCTCATGAGCTTTCGGAAGGCTCCCCCCCTCCCCCTTTTTCTCGGAGGCACAAGATACGGAATAAACAGGAACTGCCCAGTGAGGAGATAGGGAGCTGCTTCACAGGTCACCTGGGCTGGTGTTCTCGCAGCATCACCGCATTACCAATTTGTCTGGCATAGGGAGAAAGAAGAGGCAGGTACTCCTGATTATCTCTCTTAACATTATTTCTTTAACACTTCTATAGGAGACTTTTCTTGGTCCATTCAGGCTCCTGTAACCAAGTGCCATAGACTGGGTGGCTTATTAACAACAGAGATTCATTTTCTCACAGTTCTGGAAGCTGGAAGTCCAGAACCGGCGAGCTAGCATGCTCAGGTTCTGGTGGAGGATTCTCCTAGGCTGCAGACTGTTGACTTCTCGTTGGAGCTTCACATGTGGAGAGAAAGTGAAAGAGCTCTCTGGGGTCTCTTTCATAAGGACATTAATTTCATTCATGAGAGCTCCACCCTCATGACCTGATCATCTCCCAAAGGTCCTGCCTCCTAATACCAACACCTTGGGAGTTTGGATTTCAACACAGGAATTTTGAGGAGACACAAACATCCAGACCATACCAGTGAAGTCAAGTGCCTAATAATGTATCTTATCAGGAGTCCCCAAACCTTGGACCACAGACCAGTGGGGTCCATGGCCTGTTAGGAACCGGGCTGCACAACAGGAGGTGAGCAGTGGGAAAGCTCACATTAATACCTGAGCTCTATCTCCTGCCTCCTGGCAGATTAGCAGTGGCATTAGATTCTCACAGGAGCATAAACCCTGTCGTGAACTGCACATGCAGGGGAACCAGGCTGCACACTTCTTATGAGGATCTAATGCCTGATGATCTGAGGTGGAGCAGTTTCATCCTGAAACCAGCCCCATCACCCCCTACCCTGTCTGTGGAAAAATTGTCTTCTAGGAAATTAGTCCCTGGTACCAAAAGGGTTAGGTACTGTTGCATTATAGCATAGGCAAGGTAGCCTTGAGCTACTTTGTAATTTCTTTAAAAGCGAGCTTCAGATTTGTTATTGAGAAATGACACAAGGGAAATTAGATAAATCTATGTGGACAGGAGAAAATAATAGTAATAATCTATTTCCTCAAGGGAATTTCTTCAGTCTGAAATATGTGGACTGCTATAAACATCATTTCCAATCTTTTCTTTCCAAATATAAATTGAACTTATATTTGCCCACCGAAACAGAAGAGTTCTAATCAAGGAAAATCTTATTCTAAAATATTTGTCATAAAAACTTAACCACCCCCAAGTGAAGATTATGCTACCAGCCTACCTTCAGTTACACAAAGACTTTGAGAAGTTTGTATAGCTTACTGAATAAATCACTAGTTTCATGGAAGAATGGTTTTCCATTCTTTCACACAGTCCCCTTGGGAACAATAGACATTTGCAAGAAGCTGGCCTAGTTTGGCCTAATAGTAGCACTGAATAGTGACATCATGACCCCTTCACAAAGTGCTCTAACCAACTGCCCTAATAGCCTCTGATTGCTTTGGTATTGCCAAAGCACATCTATCATCAATTATACAGGTTTTCACTTACACTCCATACCAGTGTCCTGAATTCTTATGGCAGCCAAGCTTCAGATTTCCCAGGTAAGTTAATTTCATTGCATTGCACCACTGGCCCCATAAGGACAACCTCCCACAACTTGACATTTTAAAAATATGGTCCATGTGGTAGCCTCTGAAATGGCTCTTAATAATCCCCACCTCCAGTAACTCATATCCTTGTGTAATCCTCTCTTCTTGAATGTGGGCTAGATCTACACTTGCTGGTCCCTATGTTCCTCTAAGGACCAGAAAATGGCAAAAGTAAAGGGATGTCACTTCTGAGATCAGGTTACAAAAGACTGTGACTGCTGTCTTGCTTGCCTTCTCCCAGGTTCTTCTCAGTTGCTCACTCTGATGAAGCAAGGTGCCATGTTGGGAACCATAGACAGGCTGATGTGGCCGAACTAACAATAGCCCCCAGTGAACAACCAGTAAAATATTGAAGCCCTTAGTCCAGCAGGCTTCAAAGAAACAAATATGGACAACTGCATGGGTAAGCCTGAAACTAAGCCCAGTTGAGCTTTGAAATGTCAGCAGCCAACACCTCCACTGCAGCCTGTGGGAGACCTGATGCCAGAACACGCAGCTATACTGCAGCTCAGTTCCTGAAACTGTAGTAGTGCGTGAGACTTATTGCCCCACTCTAAACATTTGGTCACTTGAGGAAGTTGCCTTTCTTTTTAGGAAATCTAACAGCTTTATTGAGATATAATTCATATACCATATAACTCACCCATTTAAAAGATACAATTCAATGGTTTTTGGTACATACATCACACAATACATGTATCACCACAATCAGTTTTAGCACATTTTTGTCACTCTAAAAGGAAACCTCTTGCCCATAGTAGTCACTTGCTTCCTCTCCAAACATCCCCCTGCCCTAGGCAAAAACTAATTTTTTTATATCTCAAGATTCAGAAGATTTCTTTAATAAATGTAATCATACAATATGTGGTCTTTTGTGGATGACTTCTTTCACTTACCTTGAAGTTTTCAAGGTTTATGTTGCAGCATGTATCTACACTTCATTCCTTTTTATGGCTTAATGATATTCCATTGTATGATGTACCACATTTTGTTTATCTGTTTACCAGTTAATGGGCATGCAGATTGTTTTAATTTTTTTTTTTTTTTTTTTTTTTTTTTTTGATGGGGTTTTGTTCTTGTTGCCCAGGCTGGAAGGCAATGGCACGATCTTGGCTCACCACAATCTCTGCCTCCCAGATTTAAGCGATTTTCCTGCCTCAACCTCCAGCAGCTGGGATTACAGGCCTGTGCCACCGCACCCGGCTAATTTTGTATTTTTCGTAGAGATGGGGATTTTCCATGTTAGTCAGGCTGGTCTCGAACTTCCAACTTCAAGTGATCCACCCTCCTCGGGCTCCCAGAGTGCTGGGATTACAGGCATGAGCCACTGCACCCAGTCTGTTTCAATTTTTTAGACATTTATATGCAAGTCTTCCTGTGATCATAGGTTTCATTTCTGTTATTTGAGCAGATACCTAGGAGTAGAATTGTTGGCTTATATGGTAACTCTGTGTTTAACAGTATGAGGAACTGCCAAACTGTTTTCCAAAGTGATTGCAAGTCCTTGCGTTCGCCCCAGTAATGTATGAAAGACTCAGTTTCTCCACGTCTTCATCAACCCTGTCATTGTCTGTGTTTTTAGTTAAAGCAAATCCATTTTGGTGTGAATAGGTATCTCACTGTGGCTTTGACTTCCTTTCCCCAGTGTCTAATAGTGCTGAACATCTTTTCATGTGCTTATTTAGCCATTTGTACACCTTCTTGGGAGAAATGTTTATTTAAACACTTCACCCATTTTTAATTGGGTGGATTTTTTGTTGTTGTTTTTGAATTGTAAGAGCTCTTTATATATTCTGGATTACAAGTCCCTTATTTACATAATTTGCAATATTCTCCCCTATTTTGTGGGTTGTCTTTTCACTTTCTTTATGATGTACTTTAAAGCACAAAAGTTTTCAATTTTTATTAAGTCCAATTTACCTATTTTCTCTTTTGTCAGTTGTGCTTTTGATATTGTATCAAAGAAGGATTTGTCTAATCCAAGATCACAAAGATTTAACCTTATGTTTTCTTCCCAGAGTTTCATAGTTTTGGCTCTTACATTTAGATCAATGATTCATCCTGAATTAGTTTTTTTAAAGAGTGTGAAATAGAGGTCCTATGTAATTTTTCTGCATGTGGATAAGCAGTTGTTCTCACACCATTTGCTTGAAAAAACGGTCCTTTCCCCATTGAATTGTCTTGGCACCTTATCAGAAATCCATTGACAAGTGTATGGGTCAATTCTGGACTCTCAGTTCTGTCTCATTGATAAACACATCTACATACCTACCCTTATACCAGTACCACACAGTCTTAATTACTGTACCTTTCTAACTTTTTTTTAAATTTTTAAGTTCTTGATTACATGTGCAGGATGTGCAGCTTTGTTACATAGGCAAATGTGTGCCATGGTGGTTTGCTGCACCTGTCAACCCATCACCTAGGTATTAAGCCCAGAATACATTAGCTATTTTTCCTAATGCTCTCCCTCCCCCGACCCCACCCTGACAGTTCCAGTGTGTGATGTTCTCCTCCCTGTGTCCATGTGTTCTCATTGTTCAGCTAACACTTATAAGTGAGAACATGTGGGGTTTGGTTTTCTGTTCCTGCATTAGTTTGCTAAGGATAATGGCTTCCAGCTCCATCCATGTCCCTGCAAAAGATATGATCTCATTCCTTTTTATGGATGCATAGCATTCAATAGTATATATGTCCCACATTTTCTTTATCCAGTCTATCATTGATGGGCATGTGAGTTGATCACATATCTTTGCTATTGTTTATAGTGCTGCAATGAATATATGTGTGCATGTATCTTTGTAATAGAATCATTTATATACCTTTGGGTATATACCCAGCAATGAGATTGCTGGGTCAAATGTTATTTCTGGTTCTAGATCTTTGAGGAATTTCCCACACTGTCTTCCACAATGGTGCAACTAATTTACATTCCCACCAACAGTATAAAAGCATTCCTATTTCTCCACAACCTCGCCAGCATCTATTGTTTCTTGACTTTTTAGTAATTGCCATTCTGACTGGTGTGTGATGGTATCTCATTGTGATTTTGATTTGCATTTCTTTCTCTCTCTCTCTCTCTTTTTTTTTTTTCCTTCCTGAGACAACGTCTTGCTCTGTCACCCAGCCTGAAGTGCAGTGGCGCAATCTCGGGTCACTGCAATCCCCGCCTCCCTGGTTCAAACGGTTCTCCTGACTCAGTATCCTGAGTAGTTGGGACTACACCCAGCTAATTTTTGTATTTTTAGTAGAGACAGGTTTTCACCACGTTAGCCAGGCTGGTCTTGAACTCCTGACCTCAGGTGATCCACCCACCTCAGCCTCCCAAAGTGCTGGGATTACAGGCATTGAGCCACCACACCAGCCTGATTTGCATTTCTCTAATGATCAGTGATGATGAGCTTTTTTTCATATGTGTGATGGCTGCATGAATGTCTTCTTTTGAGAAGTGTCTGTTCATAGTCTTTTGCCCACTTTTTAATGGGGTTGTTTTTTTCTTGTAAATTTGTTCAAGTTCCTTGTAAATTCTGTATATTAGACCTTTGTCAGATGGATTGCAAAAATTTTCTCCACTCTGTAGGTTGCCTGTTCACTCTGATGATAGTTTCTTTTGCTGTGTGGAAGCTCTTTAGTTTAATTAGATCCCATTTGCCAATTTTGGCTCTTGTTGCAATTGCTTTTGGCAATTTTGTCATAAAATCTTGGCCCATGCCTATGTCCTAAATGGTATTGCCTAGATTTCCTTCTAGGGTTTTTATAGTTTTGGGTTTTACATTTAAGTCTTTAATCCATCTTGAGTTAATTTGTGTATAAGGTGTAAGGAAGGGGTCTGGTTTCAATTTTCTGCATATGAGTAGCTCTCCCAGCACCATTTATTAAATAGGGAACCCATTGCTTGTTTTTTGTTTTTGTTTTCAGGTTTGTTGATGATCAGATGGTTGTAGATGGTCTTATTTCTGAGTTCTCTATTCTGTTCCATCAATCTATATGTCTGTTTTTGTGACAGTACCATACTGTTTTGGTTATTGTAGCCTTGCAGTATAGTTTGAAGTCCAATAGCATGATACCTCCAGCTTTGTTCTTTTTGCTTAGGATCATCTTGGCTATATGAGCTCTTCTTTGGTTCCATATGAATTTTAAAATAGTTTTTTCTAATTTTGTGAAGAATGTCAATGGTAATTACTGTAGCTTTGTGCTACATTTTAAAATTGAGAAGTGTGATCCTTCAACTTTTTTTTTTTCAAGGCTGTTTTGGATATTCTAGGTCCCTTGTAATTTTTTTTTTTTTTTTTGAGACGTAGTCTCACCCTGTCCCCCAGGCTGGAGTGCAGTGGCACAATCTCAGCCCACTTCAACCTCTATCTCCCAGGTTCAAGTGATTCTCCTGCCTCAGCCTCCTGAGTAGCTGAGATTACAGGTGCCTGCCACCACACCCACCTAATTTTTTTGCATTGTTAGTAGAGATGGGATTTCACCACATTGGTTAGGCTGGTCTCAAACTCCTGACCTCCTGATCTGTCCCCCTCAGCCTCCCAAAGTGCTGGGATTACAGGCATGAGCCACCGTGCCCGGCCCCTTAAAATTTTATGTGAATGTTTAGAATCTACTGTCAACTTCTGCAGAAGAAAGGAGCTGAGATATGATAGAGATTGACTTGAATCTGTAAAGCAATTTTACAAAAGGAAACTTTTTCAGTTTATAGACCCCATAATATACATCCCTTATCTTTGTGCACCCTCAAACCCAACAGACTTGGCTTCAGTTACCTCTTGACAGAAAGGTATTCTACCTTTTGCTTTCTGCTTAATAATCTTATATTTATAAAGCAATTTATATATATGAAGTATAGTGTTAGAAGTCAATTCTTGGCTTATTGTCTAGTCTCATAAGAAAATCAATTTAACTTATTCCACATGATGTACACAAAAAGTATAATAACCCCTGAGTTTAAATTTGGGTGTGAGTTTTGCATCAGTTTCTAGCTAAAGAGTTGACTGCTATTAAAATGACTTCTTAAGAAACCTGGAAAGATTGGGCCAACCATCTGTCTGTCAATTGCACAGCCCAAGATTGTCAAGTACTATTGCCTATTGCACACCACTAATACAGAAATTTTGCCAGGAAATCTGTTTATCGCTATATGCTAAGCTGCACATCACTTGGATCATTTCTTTCAGTTTCGATTTAGGATTACATTTGAATTAAGAACACATTTCTACCTTTAGAGGGCACTCATAACATACAGTACCTAGACATTCAAATAAGCAACTCTACCAAGAATAGAAGATTAAAGATCTGTGGATAAGCTACTGATCCACAATGCAGATAATCCTTTTGCTTTCATTAGTGTAACTTTCCAAGGAGCCTCCCCACAGACTCAGAGCCAGCCCAGCATTAGCCAAACGAAGAGAAGCAGAGTGGATCCTGTGCTAGTGTCGGCAAAACCAGGCAACAGGACTCATTTGGGGCCTTTATTGCAAAAACATGCCCCAGCTTTCCCAAGATAGTCAAGAGTGCCTCCAGAAACCTTTCTCCAGGCCATCTATATGGACACAGTTCCTGCCCCTGTTTAGGGCTCAGAGATATAACGCAGACATTCACCAAACCACAGAAAATGAAGGAGACCCCAGGGCTGTGCCTGACATCAAGGTAAGCTGATCTCCACAATCCATGATCCTTTCCTGTCAAGGGAAAGTGTTCACCCAGAAATAATATAAACTATAGGCAAGCTTTAGTGCCATTGCTCACTTATCTTAATGTTTGATCAAAAATGTTTTCAAACCAACTCCAAGGGAATCCAGAGCCTAGAAGATAATTACCTGATCTATCTAATTTTCTCCAATCTATACAGATTCCCTTTACCA